AAGTGTAGACATTTCGCAATTAAAAAACTGTAACATTTTTCTGCCACTTCAGATGTTCATAACTTTGTTAAAAATGAAGTAATATGTATAGATTTGGTATCAAAATGTCCAGAATGATAAATTCTATCAGGTAGTGCAGTTAACTATGAAACCAGAGGACTTTGAAATTTCAGTTTGTGGTACCTATATTTATCAGACACTGAAGAGACATCCTGACAGCTCACTTCAATATCTTAAGGTTGTACTACCCCAAATTTAATGTCCATATCCAACAGTACTGAGCCAAAAACTGGGAGAGCTGTAAAACCTTCAAAAACAACCCCCGTTTTAAAAAAAAGGCCCAGCAAGGAATTGAACCAGGGTCTTTTGCACCACAGCCCCAACAGGATACCAAAACTGAGCAAACAGCCAGTCCAAGACCTTTTAACCCAGCATATATCTATCATCCCGATCTCCCTTCCTTCTTTTTTGTGTTTGTTACTCTCTAGTAACACCTCTAATCTTACGGGCTTATATGACTTTATTGTGTTGGGACGCCGTAAAACTCTTCCTAAGACCAAAGTAAACCAGCACATGGACAAAAGTACTTCAAGAGACGTACCACTCTCCACAAATTCTGCGCCGGCATTGACACATTGTAGTTCACATAACAGGAAACCTCTTGATTACTCGGAGTCATAGGAGCAGCTACGTCATGGCTGTGGGAAGTCAGGAAAGTTTCTTTAACATCAGGCACAGTCGAACCAGTAAAAAAGAAAACTCAAGTGTGATTTCAGTTGCGCAACACTTTCAAAAGAGTAAGTTAAGAAACATTTTTCGAGAGTCTAACAAGCATCAACATCTGAGATTTGTATGATTAAATTTTAAAAGGCCAGAAACTCATGTGAGTCTCCACCTTTTCCGTAACTCATGAAATTGCAGCAGCAGCTGTTGTGCATCTCACAGGAAGTTTTGTATTAATCTCTCCAGGCCTTGCATATTCTGTTTTCAACAACTGACTCTCTTACCTGTTGAGAGCTCGGCTGGTGACCCCATGGATGAGTTGAACAATATCGCCATGCTTGACCGGCACTGGAGGGTCGTCTACCATCAGGTCATGACTGAAGGACAGGTGGGGAGAGGGCAAAATGGGGAAGAGCATGAAGCAAGCTATTCTGTCATCCTGTTCATTCATCTTGCTGATATTTATTGAACGATTTGGAAACACAAAGCAAAAATCCTTGTGTTCATTGACTAAAACAAAGCATAGAAATACATATCTAATTATCTAAGTTTCTGTTCTATATGTTGTACTGCGTTATACACTACTAACTGCTTGATTCATTTTAAGCATGTTATATGGTATTATATGCAACTAAATTACCAATTTTGTTTAAAGAGCATGGTGTTACAATCAACTTATCAAGAAGTTTCTTTTTTAGCATGAAGCCTGGTGTTACATACAACTGTTTACTAAGCTTCTTTTTCAGCACACTGCATGGTACTACATGTAACTAATTACTAAACAAGACGAAACCAATATCTCTATATGCCCAAAAATTGATGAGCGCCTGATTCCACTGCTTTGTGACACAAATTTCATTTTTAAGAATGGTGTTACACACAACAAACAACTAAGTTTCATTTCATTATGTTGGTGCAATGTTAAACACAACTAATTATTATTTCTCTCGCCAAGATACTGGCGCTGTGTTACATGAAACAAATTACTACGTTTCTTTTGAACATGTTGGCATGATGCAAAGGGAGAAGGGGACCCGGGGGATCAAATCAAGAAAAACAAACAAACATAGTTAAAGTACTCGCATATATGGGCAAATTAAGCGACCAACCTCTCCGGTTTCTTGATGATCCACCAGTTGTTGATGTCCTTGAAGACGTAGCAGGTGACCTGCTGCTGGTGAGAGCTGCCCCGTTTGTCCGGGTACTTGACCGGGTACATGTGAGCGTGCGAGTGCAGCCAGCAAGGCTGACCATTGGCAAGGTTCTCTGTGTGTCGTAGGGTGATCTGAGAGCCGTAGGAGACGTACAGGGGCTGGCCACGGGTGAGGGCTGCTAAGCCACCCTGGGTAGTGAAAGGGAGAATGAGAGAGTGAGTGAGTGAGTAAGTGAGTGAGTGAGTGAGAGTGTGTGTGTGTGTTGGTGTGTGTGCATGTTTGAGTGTGTGTGAGATAGAGAGTGAGAGAAAAAAAAGAGGGAGGGAGTGAGGGAGAAAGAGACGTTTGAGAAAAAAGAGAACATTGATATAAAACAATCATTCAGCGCATGGGGAAAAGCAAGAAAGACTAGACAGGAACAAGCTGCACTAAATATATATTACTACACAGCTCACAGCTAAAGGCGTAAGTTCTGTGAGCCTTCGAAACAAACTATCAACTTCATATAAACCCACACAAAAAAGTGTGGCCTCACACCAGTCCAACTGACCTCGAGACTGGCCTGGAAAGCACTGGTCATGATATTGTCGTGAGGGCCGGCCTTGTGCAGGACACTGAGGTGGACGTAGAAGATGCTGAGATACACTGCCACGGGTACTGTCACTAGGGTCAGCAGACGGGCAAACAGATGCTTGACCAAGGTCATCTAGACAGAACGAAGTACAATAACTTTCAACACGAAAAACTAAACAGGCTTTATGGAAAAGTTAGTTTCAGTTGCTGACAATGACACTGAAAGATGAGTACATATTTATAATAGCAATAATACAGGGTAGATGAATGTCTACAAGTTAAATCTCTTTCGCGCACGCACATACATGCCTGCACACACATACACACGCACGCATACACATGTACACGCGCGCGCGCACACACACACACACACCATACTGCACATCTGTGTACACTGAAATTTAAAAAAAAAACTTCCTTAACATACAAAGTCCTGTGACTGAAAGGCTCTGCCTTTGTTAAACCTGCCTCTGAGAGTCATGTAAGAATGAACTGCAGGGCCAGGGAAGGAGAGGGACAATGTGTCTCTCAATGAGATGGATTAGCCCACAAAAATTTGTCAGTCCATACCAAGGTCCACGGATATATCGTAAAATAAATTTTTGGCAGGAGAGTGAAAAACAATAACAAACTGAACTTCATTTGCACTCCATCTTTTTCTTCAGTGGGTCTTCTTCTTCTTCTTTTTCTCGTCCATCTTGAAACGGACATCCCAGTCACTAGTACAAAAGCTGCTGTTAGCCGCAGGTCCTCCAGGCAATTTCATGCCAAAACAAATTACAGTGAGATGTTATCCACTGTGGCACAATTGTGTGGTGTTTGTAGAGGCTTACAATTGTTATAGTGTCTTCAGTGAGTGTACAAATTCTGTGTTATCTGTGGTATCAAGAGCCCGATTTTAATCAAGGCACAGACAAAGGACAGGAAAGTAGCAGCAGTAGAAAATAACTAAACAGGTTCATCTTATATATTCAAAGAGTGGAATATGTGTCAGGACGTGGTGGAATCAGGCGCTTGCCAATTTTTGGCCATGTGGAGTAACCGGTATCATCTTAAAGCCTGTTCATTTGCCTTGTTTTTGATGAAAAAAAAATACCCATCTATCTCGAATAGAAGTCGAGATATTTGCGATTGAAGAAGGTGGGGGTCACTCAGTTTCAGAGGTAAAATTAGCGAGAAAATAGCCACTAAAGTCTGGTAACCTCAATAGCTTGAGAGTCCTTGAAAACTGAAAATTCATACAAATTTTTGAGTCTTTAATCAATATTTTTCAGTAAAATTCACAAGGAAATGTGTTGTTATACGGACATAAAAGTAAAAGGTGATGGGCTAAACAAAACAAAAATGTAATAAAATTGCAAAACTGGTGGAAAAGTGCCTATTTCTTTGATTTCATTATTTTGACGAGCACCTGATTTCACCATGATACCTTACATATGCAATAGTAGAACCCTTACATATGCAATAGTAGAACCAAGTCCTGTTACAAGTTATCCCCCCCCCCCAAATAATAACCCCCTAATCAGAGCACTTACATCAGACCTGGAGCTATCATCCAACATTCGCCAAAAATCTCTCCAGATTCGAACCACAACCAAAAACATGGTGAACACACCCACATACTTGACGCTGGGGATTAGGAAACAAAAAAACAAACAGAAATGACACATAGAGACAAAATCATTGGCCTATTTGTTGATGATTTTACATGTTTTACACCCCAATGACACAATTTCGATCATTTAGGAGATGAGCCGTCTGTCCCCTAGCTCAATAAGATTCAGTGTCTCAACTTACAGCTGGGGCAGCCCATTAAGAAATTTCTACTTTCAGGAATTGAACTCTTGCCTTCTGGATGCAACAACAAGAGCCTGACCATTACACACAGATGCTGGCTCAGGCATGCTGATGTTTTTGCTTCAGTAAGCGTTTTACAGCACTTGCAATACAATAAGATCATATAAGTGACCAGGATTATTTTTGTTTTAATAGAGGTTTTACGGCACTCGCAACTGCATAAGTTCATATGAGTGCCAAGGGGTGGATGTCAACAGAGAGTCCTTATAGGGAATCAGACTTCCTCTGCTCACCTCTCTAGCTTCCACAGCACAAAGTCTGCTTCGACTATCAAGGCACCCCGGAAATAGCGGGTCACAAGAGTGTGACAAACATACAAAAGAAGTAGAAGAAAATGACGATAGTAAGGATTAGGAAAGAAAAAGCAGCAGTTCCCTGTTGTAGTTCAAGAACAGTTATGAGCATGACATTGTTGGATCAGCCCATTTACAATTCTACTGTGCATTAGAATGAGAAATGTCCCCCCTTTGGGAATAGCCTAAAGACACTTCAATCAGTGGCACTGCCCCGGCGGGTTGACCAGGATTAGAGGGGTTATAAGAGAGTAACAATCACAAGAAAAAGAAGGGGGAGGGATAAGGATGATAGATGTTTCAAAGGAATGAAGGAGCAAACCACACCAGAGCACCCTCCAACCACCCACTCATGCAGATGAATGCGGAGCAGGATACAACATCTCAGCATTAACAAGCAGAAGGAGTAGAACAGGCCAGAACGACCACCATCAAACTGAAGATTCATTAAAATCATGGTTTTCACACCACCTGCAACACAATGAGATTATATAAGAGGTGAAGATTAAAGGTATTACGAGAGAGTAACAAACACAGGAAAAGAAGGGGGAAAGATAACGATGGCAGATGTTTCATAGGAAAGGAGCAAACCACACCAGAGCACCTGCCAACCACCCATTCAAGCTGATGAAAGCGGAGCAGAACAGGCCAGAACGACCACAATCAAACTGAAGATTAATTAAAATCATAAAATCATATGAGAGAAAGACTACCTGAAGCCATCAATTGACCCATAATGTGAATGCATGAGCAAAATCAACATAACATGTCAATATTGAGAGCAGCTTCGCAAACAATGGGGCAAGGCAAGGTGGAGAAAATCAATAACAGATTCAAACGGATAGTGATGTGTTATCTGAGACCCAGCCAGGCCATTTTTTTTTCTTTGTATTTCTCTCATCACACAAAGACAACCAGTGGAAACAGGTACAATGATCAATATACAGATCAATACAAAAAGTGGGGGGGAGGGGAGGGAGTGGGGTAAGTCAATAGCAACGAATGGAAAAAACAACTAAATTTAGCGAACAGTAGATTTGGAAAAATACAGTTGAACCTGCACTAACAGCCACCTGTTTAAGACAACCCCCTGTACAGAAGACCACTTACTTTTTCCTCCCTTTTTACATGAAATAACACTTTGTAAGACAGCCACCTGTCTCCTCGACAATGGG